AAATGTCGTCACCTTCTCCACATCCACCTCCCGGATCAGGAGCGCATTGGCCTGCGAGGGCGGGAGGGAGACAGGCCATGAGCTCACCAGGGGCCACATGCCTTGGAACCACCAAAACCTCATGACAGGCTGCATGTCCAGGTCCCAGCCAGCCTGGGCAGCGCCGTGCCCATGGCAGAGCCAGAATCACGGGTGCCAAAAAGCAGCCAGGCCAACCAGCACCTGGGCTCCTCAGCACCAGGTCCCTGGAAGCAAAACCATCAGTGAAGCAGTTCCCCAGGCAGGGGCCGCACCTCCCCCGGGTTCCCCAACACCGGAGTGGCTGACTCTGTTTGCTTCACGAAAGTGAGGAGGGGACGTCGGAATGGGAAACAACCACAGAAAAAGTAAGCATACTCTTTAAAATCTGAAAAGGGCAAGGCCTCAGACATGACAACAGGGCACCTGCTGGCACCTCGCTGCCCTTACTTCTCCCAGAGACTCCGTGGGGGGGAACCGAGCCACAGGGCACCGCCCATCAGCAGCAGAGCAGTCCCTAAGGCACAGAGCATGTGTCCAGGGCCAGGCTCTGTCCAGGGGCCTCTGCCTCCCATCAGAGATGCTGACTAAATGCTGCACTTGCTGCTCAGGATGGCGCACATCCGCACGGCTGGCACCCCTGGACTTTTACATGATGTCCCCTCTGCACAAGGTCGTCTGACCCTCAAAGCCATGGGCAGGGGGTGCGTCACCACCCCAGGTTTGCAGATGGGGCCGAGATGCTGAGGCTCAGCCATCTGCCCCTCACAAAGGATGACAACCACAGCTCGGACCCACTCTTTGCCACCCGAGGTCCCCACCGTCAGCCCTCAACAAACACGTGCTGCGGGACGCCATCCAGATGCAGACACCCACACCCCCCATGCTCAGGCACATGCACACGCACACGCACACCGGGCACACACACATGCACACAAGACACACGCAAACACGCGTACACACATCATGCGGGGCAGACAGCTCTGGGGAGACCATCCACTCCTCTTCTGCTGTCCCCTCACCTAAGGGCTGAGGGACTGGGCAAGGGACACACGTGAGTGGAACCCCAAACAGGGAACAAGAGAACCCTGCCCCTAGGGCCCAAAACCCAGGGGGTTCTCCTGGGCCTCCCAGGCTGGAGACCCTGGCCCCCCACTTGCTCCCCTCTAATGCTCTCTGCCCCTGGCTCCAGGCTCTCCCACAGCCATGACCTTCAGCCCTGGACTCACCCCCACACCCTATCCCAACCCACAGCCTCTCAATCTGGGCCAGGACAAGCACACCTGCGGGGACTTGGAAAAACACACCAAGCCCCTAAAGATTGCTCTGACTGGACACTTGTAGGTCAGAGCTCAGCAATCTGCTTCTATAAAGGGCCGGAGAATATTTTTCAGCTTTGAGGACCATGTGGCTCTGCTACAGCTACTCTATGCTGCCACTGTGGCCGCGTGCCGATAAAACTTCATTTACAACAACAGGTCAGTCTGCTGCCCCTGCTCCAGGTGCTGATGGAGGTCTATGGTCCACATGTGAACTTGGGCTCTTAGAGAGGGTCCCAGCTGGAAGAGATCATGGAGGGAGACCAGGGCAGGCAGCAAGCCAAGACCCAGAGGGCAGGAGAATGGCACAGGCCCCACAAAGAGCGAACTCAGAGTCATCACGTGACCCAGCAATTCCACTCCAAGGTGTCTACCCAAGGGAAATGGAAACACATTCACGCAAAAATTTGCACACCCACATTCACAGCGGCATGATTCACAACTGCCAAAAAGTGGGAACCACCCAAACATCAGTTGACGGATGAATGGACAGACAGCACGGTCCAGCCACACGCTGGAACGTCACTCAGCCATGCAAAGGAGCGAGGCTCTGACGCACGCTGCCACATGGATGGACCTTGAACACATCACGCTTAGTGACAGACACCAGACACACAAGGCACATAGTGTGATTCCATTTACACAAAACATCCAGAACAGGCCAATCCACAGGGACAGAAAGTGGATTCATAGTGCCAGGGGCTGGGGAGTGACAGCTGATGGGGACTGGATTGCTTTTGTAAACGATGGAATGTTCTGGAATTAGATAGAGGTGATGGCTGCACAACTCTATGAATGTGCTAAAAATCTCTGAGTTATACACTTTAAATGGGTGAATTACGCTGTATGTGTGTTAAACTTCAATAAAACTGTTACTGAAAAGGCAGGGAGGAAAGTCCCAAACCCATGGGGTCACCGTGAGGGTCGACATCAGGTACAGGAAGCCCGTGGTGGGCCACTCAGCCCACAGTGTGGCTGGGAACCGGGGCTTGCCCTGCTGCTCCCCAGGTGACCCGGCCGGGCCTCGGCTTCCCCCTCTGCAGAATGGGGGCACTACAGCTGCATGAGAGGGAAGCTGTGGGGCTCAGTTGGGCAACTCCCATCACAGATGCCAGTTGACACCCGAGGAAGGTGGTGGCCACTACGTCCACATGCAGGACGGGAATGGACAGAGCATGGGAGGGGCCCACCCCTCCAGGACCCCTGGTGGCCCCGCCCCAGGCCCAGAAGCCAGGCGCTGCAGGCGCACTGCCTGCCCAGGCGGCTCACCTTGTTCTGTTCGTACTTGTACAGGATCTTGAGCGTCTCCATGGCCCGGATCATGGACTGCATGGCAGTGAAGATGTTCTGGTACACGAGCTTGGTGAAGCCTCGCTTGTCCTCCTCCGAGTAGCCGGCTCCGTGGATGATCCGCATCTGCTTGATGAACGTGCTCTTCCCGCTCTCACCCGTGCCTGCGGGGCAGCAGCGCAGTGAGACCCGCAAACAAAACGGCCCCACCCACATCCCCCAGACCCGCGCAGCCACCCCCAACCCGCAGACAAGGAAACCGAGGCACAGGAGCTTAAGTGTCTCTCCACTGGATGTCACCACCTCCCCAACTGGCCAGGTTAGGAGTCTCCAGAGCGCGACCCCAGCCCCACAGGGCCCATGTCACCCCCGCCCCCCACATCCAAGTCTTGTTTGACACCGGACGCTGTCTCTGTGGCCTCCACCAGACGCCTTTTCCAGGAGTTCCACGAGACCAAATTTTTCTGGGGGGCAAGAGTTTGGTATTTGCACCAAAGGCCACACGGTCTCGGGGCCAAATCAGGCTGCACACAATGTATGGCCACTGCAACGGTCCCCAGAACCTGCTTTCTTGTTAGCTCAGAACTTGTAAGTCAACCCGACATCATGCTGCCTCATGTCCAATGCCCACAGGAGGGACGGCAGCCCTGGATGTGGCAGCGGATGCCCAGGTGTGTTCTTCCTAAAATGAACCCCAGGGCTGGTCTCCCTGAGATCAGTCCCCACCTGCAAGTGGCCCCCACCTCCCTTCCTGACTTCTGAGCTCTACCCAGGTGACCGCATGCCTAGACATCTCCACCTGGGCACCAAGGGCCACTTCCGCTGCCAACCCCAAGCACTGTGGCCCACGTCCACACCTGGCCCCCTGCCCACCTTGATGCCCATCCTGGGCTCTCCCCTCTCTGTCCTGCTGCTGTGGCTGAGGGTCAGTCAGGGGGCCCCAAGCACATCCCTGAACCCCTTTGCGTCTCTGTTCCCTCCTCCATCAGCGTGAGGGAGACACAGCCGCCTGGGGGGGCTTCCCATGAAGCCCACGGTGCCCTTGCTAAGCCCCACAGCTCTCCTGCGGGCAGGGTGTGCTACCACACTGTCCCTGAGATGGGCCAACCAAGGCTCTCGCTGCCTCAGAAAATTAAAAGGGTCAGTACCTCTGGCCAGAAAAAAACATCGCAAGAGGGGCCCACATAGCCGGCATTTCCTCGCCCCAGACTCCAGATGAGCCTCCCGTGCACTCTGGGTGATGTGGGGCCTCACTCCAGCCCCAGTGCCACCTCCAAACCCCTCTCCCAGTCCTGCTCTCACTGCCTGGCAGAGAGGACAGCTGCCTCTCACCTCCCTTCACCCACACGCACTGGGACGGCGACTACATTGGATTTTTTTTTTTTTGTTTTGTTTTTCCTTTTTGTCTTTTTTCGTGACCGGCAACAGATCGCAACCCTCAGTGTCGTGCCCGTACCAGACCGGGACCAGCCACGGGATCGCAACCCTCGGTGTTGCTCCCGCGCCTTGCTCAGCCAGTGAGTGGCCGGTCTGTATGTGGGATCCGAACCCTCGGCGGGAGCGCCACCGCACTTCCCAAGCGGCGCACTATAGCAGTGCGCCACCAGGCCGGCCCCAACATTGGTTTTTAATATGTCCACAAATCGCTGGTCCTCGTTCCTTCCAGAACTGGGGCCTAATTCCTCTCCCCTTGAACTCGGGCTGGATTTAGGGATCTGCTTCTAATGAAAAGAATAGGGCACGGCTGGCCAGT